CCAGGGTGGGGCTGCCCAGGGAGGCCCTGCCTCTTGACCAGCCGTCTGCACCCATCAAGAATGCTTGGGAGTGAGCGCAGGGCAAGAGTCAGGAGGCCACTGTTGTGGGTTCTGGTTCTGTGCTATTGGCTGAGTGAGTGTGAGTCATCTACCTTCTGTTGGGGACCGCTTTGATCTTTGCTATGTATGGCTGGATACAGTCATTGTCCTGGTCTTTCCTAGGACTGGGGAGGCCTGGGACTGGCCTTCGCCATAACAGAAAACACACAAAGAGCCTCTGGGAGGGCTAGAGGTTTGCCTCAGTGCAGAGATTTTTTTTTTGCCTTACGATGCTCTGATGTGTGATGTTTCAGATAGGATTTTCCCCCCATGGGACTGACTCATGTCTACTCTGGCCTCTGTTGTCTCTCTTTTAAATGTTATTTATTTTTGAGAGACAGAGAGTGAGTTGGGGAGGTGCAGAGAGAGAGGGAGACAGAGGATCTAAAGCGGGCTCTGTGCTGACAGCAGAGAGCCTAATGTGGGGCTAGAACTCATATACTTTGAGATCATGACCTGAGCTGAAGTCAGACCCTCAACTGACTGAGCCACCCAGGTGCCCCTGGCCCCTATTGTCTTTTAATCTTCATATTGCCTCCCTGAATTCCTGGCATTTTGTCCTCTGTAAACTTGAGCAATAACATCTCTTAACGCCCTTCTCTGGCAGTTCTAGGACAAGCCTGGTGGCCCCATTGCAGTGCAGGTGTTTTGCTGTGGCCTGACAACATAACCCAAGCCACCATGCCATTTAACAGATTCCCAGCATTGTGAGAAGCTTGTAGGGACCAGGCCAAGGCTGGTTTGTGGGCCCTCAGGTTGATTGGATGTATCCAGGAGAATGGCCTGAGATGTTGGTGTCTAAGATGGGAGAACAGAGGCCAAAGGGCCATTCTGAAGGGCCTCCAGGCTACGGGTTAGCATAACCAGATCTTCCAAGTGGTGTGCATCCAATCTGGGTCTAACCCACCAGCCAACTTGGAGACGTCACATAGCCGGGCTAAGTGCTGGGGAGGCAGGTATGACCCACCCCATTCGACTCTGATGCTCCCTGTTAATTAGGGGCAAAGTCAGGCTCCCTCCTGTGGCTGCCACCACACAATGGCTTGGGACCTCTTTTCGCCACTGGCTTCTCTAGAAGAGTCTAGGCCCTCCCCTCTGCCCCCTTCTATCCTTTCTCAGAATGTCCCATGGGCAGCAACATCTTTTGGGTCTTGAATGCAATAGAAATGTCACGACTATGGCATGAGGATTTCTAGTGGCCCCGTGTACCTGTAGGTGCACCTGTAGGTGCAAATATACAAATTATCTTAAGGAACAAATTGGCTGTGTATAAACACTGGTAGTTGAGATAAGGTGGAAGAATCATGGGTCTGAGCCCTGGTTCTGCCACTTACTGCATGTATTAGTTTCCTGCAGTTGCCGTAACAAATTGCCACAAACTTATGACTTGAAACAACACAAATTAATTCTTTCACCGTTCTGGTGTGCAGAAGTCCAAGGTGTCATTCTCCCATAAGACCTTAGGGGAGGGAACTTTTGTGTCTCTTCCAGCTTCTGGTGGCTTGTGTATGCATCGATCCAATCTCTGCCTCCCTCTTCGAATGGCCTCTCCCCTCTGTGTGTCCCTTATAAGGACTCTTGTTATTACATTTGACGCCACCTGGATAATACAGGATGATCTGACCTCAAAGTCCTTCACTTAATTAAATCCGCAGAGACCCTTTCCAAATAAATCCACGTTCCTGAGTTGCAGGGGTTAGGACGAGGACGTATCTTATTGGGAGACACCATTCAACCCACCCCACTGAGTAGCCTTGGAAATGCCACTTACCCTTTCTGAGCCTCAATTTCCACACCTATAAAACAGGGATGATAATCTTTACATCATAAGGCTCTTATGAAAATTAAAATGAAAGCATTTGCCACATGGTAGATGCTCTATAAATACATATTTTTGATTATGTGGGCCCCAGTCCTGTGAAACACAGAGCTTTCAGTTACAGCTCCCTTGGCTATGCATGCCTCTGCCCATCTTTGGAGTGTCTCCTGTTCCCTGCCCTGGTCTTCCTTCTTGGCCTCTCTGACCTTTGTTCTCTACCTGGTTCTTCATGCTTCTATAACTCCCAGCACAATATCTTCCCAAGAAGTGTGGAAAGCACTTACTCATATTTGTAATTAAACCGTACCTTCAGGCCAGATCGGCTTTCCCTGAGTCTCCAGGACCATGGAGGACCTGGCCGCTAGCATCCAGTCCCTCCTCTGGCCAAAAGGGAAGAGCTCACAAGTCAGAAGAGCTGGGTCCCAGAGACAGTGCTACCACTAAGTAGCTGTGTGACCTTAACCAAGAGTCTCAGTTTCTCTAAGCCTCAGGTTCTTCATCTGAAAGTAAGCTGATGATTCCTGTCTTGTTAACTCAGCCTCAAGTGAACATTAATTGGGATAACGTGGGTGACGGCAGTTGTCATCTGTGCTCCAAGGCTGGAGGGCCTTGATCATCATTCCCAGCTTAGGCTGAGGGGCGCAGTCCCTGGTTCCAGGCACCCACCTTTAGAGAAAAAGCCCAGTTCAGTCCCCCTTCTTTCTCAGAGTCCCTTCTCTGCCTCACTTCACTTATTTGGACCCCTACGTCAGATCCATTACCTAGGTTAAAATCTGATGAGGCTCCCTCTCCTGGCAAGGACCCTCTCACCCTCCCAGTCACCTCATCAATCAGCCCAGTCGTGGGCTGAGATTGTGTGGAATAGAGCCTCATGACCAGGGATGTCCCCTCCAGGCCCTGTTCAGGGACCCACTGGTACTGTCAGGATCAGCTTGACTCGGAGTAAAGAGGCCTATTGTGCTGCACGGCGAAGGGGGCGGTGCATGGCAGGGCCCCTGGCTCCAAAGAACATGAAGTTGCTGGAGGGAACTTAGTGCTTCTGACCTTGTTTCAGAGCTTTGACCAGAGCCGGTTGACCTGGCTTCCAGTTGCTGTGTTTTTAACTCTCTAACTGCATGACCCCGAGCAACCCACATAAACCCTCTGAACCTCTGTTTCCTCATCTTCAAATGGCAATGACAGTCCTTAACTGCAGGGATGGTGAGGACCAGAGAGGTAGTGACTCTGAAGCAGGTGTGTGGGGGCTGGTGGCCACCCTGATGGAAAAGGACTAAAGGAAACACGTTTATTAAGTACCTCCTTTTTGCTGGATCCTGTATATATGCATTTCTCATTTAATGTGTGCAATTTGAGGTCAAGTCTGTGTTGGAGTCCACATGGGTCTGGCCTAAAGCTGAGCCTGCTGCTCCTGTTGGTGCTCCTGCCCACCCCCAGCCAGTACAGACCCCGGTCCCCATTGGGAATATGCCTCATTAAGGAAGGAAAGTGACTCTGAGTCAATCTCAGAGTCCTTTGCCTTGTGAGGATGCAGGCAGGGAAGCTGTTGGCTCATGCCGCCCTGGCACAGTGCCCACTGAGGGTGGCTGTGTTAGTCGGCATTCTCCAGAGAAACAGAACCAATAGGATGCATACAGAAAGAGATTTATTGTGATGGATTGCTCACGCGGTTATGGAGGCTGAGAAACCCCACGATCAGCTGCCGACAAGCTGGGGACCCAGGAAAGCTGGGGGCAGAACTCCAGCCCAAGTCTGAAGGCCAGAAAACCGGAGCTCTCGCGTCTGAGGGCAGGAGAAGACGGATGTCCAGCATAAGCAGAGAGAGCGAATTCGCTCTTTCTCCGCCTTCTGTTCTGTTCAGGCCCTCAACAGATTGAGCGAGGCCCACCCACACTGGGGAGGGTCATCTTTACTCAGCCTATCCACTCAAATACTAACCTGTCCCTGAGAGGGGGTGTTCCTGAGACATCCAGAAATAATGCTCACCAGCTATCTGGGCATCCCTTAGTCCAGTCACGTGGACACAAAAATTAACCACCACAGTGGCCAAGGATCAAGTGTTCCCCATGATGGCTACTTACTGCTGGCTACTCCTCATTCCCTTGCATAGCAGCCTTCAGTAGACGTCTGTCCCCTACTGTCCCTGACCTTCTCCCTCCCTGCTTCTCTTGTTTCACCTCCCCCCTCCTCTTTTGCACTCTCTGGTCAACCATAGACGTAGAGATTTCTCACCACACTCCCCCACCTCCAGCTTATGGCTCCCTTAGCACAGTGCCCTCCAGGCTTAATTCCGACTCATCAGTTAAGACTCAATGCAGGTGCTGCTAACACCCGGGGTCCCTTGCTGGCTCCCCAGGCCTCGTGCTGAGCATGAAGCCCCATCTCTGTGCTCCCACAATAATCCTGCGTGCAGATTTCCATCTCTGTACCAACCGCATTGTGATGACATTATTCCTTAATAATATTTGTCTCTTCTCATAGTTGGTCTTAAACGGGGTCAGGGAGTGTTTGGTGGGTAGTGAGCGAGAGGCCATGTGAACTAGGATTTTGACAGCCTCTGTCCAATGCCCTCTCACCCCCTATCAGAATGGACTGGGAGGGGGAATAGGGAGAAATTCAGGACACAGAGTTATTTTGTGAAAACCTCCCAAGCGATTCTGACTTAAGATTTGTCTCTCACCTCAGCCTTTGCTTTGGCCCAGCCACTGAGCCGCACAGAGACAAATGAACAGCTCTTGACATGTACAGTTTTGGGAAATCCATGTCTGATGTTCGGGGGGGCTTGAGACTAGAAAGCCAATTATGAAGCTATCCTTAGTGCCCGGAAACTGAACTTGCTTGCGGTAATATGGAAGAGGGGGGTCTGTGTTTGGGAAAGGGAGAGTGGGTGTGTAGAGGTCCTGGAGGTGGGGGCAGACCAGGTGCGTCCTGGGATTCCCTCCCCAGTTGTGCAAAGACCTTTCTTATGCGAATAACCTGTCAGTGGGAACATGCTCTCTTTCTCAGATTTGTGACAGCGTCCTGAGCTGGTGACAGACCTACTCTGTGACTTTCAGCCAGATTCAGCCCTCACATTCCTGAAAACATGACCCTCGCCGGTAGGTACAAAAACTGTCTATGCAGCGGGGCACCGTAGGGCAGGGTGTTTCTGTACACACATGTATGTGCTTACCTAGACACAGAGAAGGGTAAAAGACTGACAGAAAGTATACCCCAGGATTAAAAGGCGTTATCTCTAGATGGTGGGTGGGATCACAGCTGAGCTTTTCTTTCTTTTTTTTTTTTTTAATTTTTTTTTTTTTTTAACGTTTAGTTATTTTTGAGACAAAAAGAGACAGAGCATGAACGGGGGAGGGGCGGAGAGAGAGGGAGACACAGAATCTGAAATGGGCTGCAGGCTCTGAGCGGTCAGCACAGAACCTGACGCGGGGTCGAACTCACGGACCGCGAGATCATGACCTGAGCTGAAGTCGGACACTTAACTGACTGAGCCATCCAGGCGCCCCAGAGCTTTGCTTTTACTCATCTGTGTGTGTTTTAAAAACTTTTTACAATGCACACGTATTATTTTCACACTGGATTATGCTTTCAACAAGTAAAAGGAAAGAAGAAGGAGAGTGCTTGGGCACCACACTGGGTTTAGCTGAGAACTGAGAGGGCCTGAGCATGTGGAGCTTAAAACAAGGTGCACTGGCCCCAGGGTAGTGGGGGGGCAGGCAGGATCACAGGCCGGGGCCAGGGCAATAGTGGGCTGGACTTGACCATATCAGCTCTAACTTGTGACCTCTTGGCTTTCAAATCCTCTCCTGACACAAAGAGACTAGACGGTGGGGGTGCCTTTATGGGCACCGGCACCTGTGCTGGGAAGGTCAGAGAAGGCTCACAGCCTGACCTTGCCACCCAGGGAGAGGCAAGACCAGAGGGATGGTGGTGTGCATCTTTACCATTCAGAGAAGCACTGCTGAGTACTCGGACTAAAATGGAGCGTGAATTTCCTGCATCTCGGAGCAAAGTAAATGGAATATTCTGGGCAAGTGTGAGGAGACAGAGAACTAGGTCCAGGGCGCCAGGTTGGGGTTTGTGGTCTTTACCTGAGGGCATTCTGCATTCGGTACTAAGAAGGGAAACAATGTACTCAGGAGAAGATGGGGTCATCTGGGTGCTCTGGAAGGGTCAGGTTCTAAGGGTCTAAGGGTCACCTGTCTAAGGTGGACAGAAGTGGATCTGAATCACACACAGGAATCCTAAAATGGGCCGCTCAGGGCAAAGGGGGCTGAATCCCCAGGCAAGGGGTAGATTTGGGTGGTTTAGGTGCCGCTGTGGAGCCTGGTGACCCCTGGCTGCTCAGGCACCCAGACTCACACGGAGGCTGACTCAGGAGACTAGGAGGGAGTCACCACCTTCTGCCGGTGTTTCTGCAGCCTACAAAGAGAAGATGAAGGAGCTCCCACTGGTGTCCTTGTTCTGCTCCTGTTTTCTGGCCGATCCTCTGAATAAATCATCCTATAAATACGAAGGTAAGTGAGGGCCACAGTTGAGGGTGTAGCTTGTGGAGGATTCCTGGGCTCGTATCCACGAGTAGCACGCTCCTGTCCCAATTTTATGAAACTCTCCTCCCCGTATCAAGTTTTCTTTCCCAGAGCCAGTAAAACCACTGCAGCTGATTCTGAGGGTCTAAGCATCAGGCAAAGGCTGGTGTGGGGCTGCAGCCAGGGGGACTAGGTAGCAGCTGAAGGTGAATCAGGCCCTCTGCCTCCTGATCTTATCTTTTCTTCATTCATTTAACAAACGGATGCTGTGGAAGATGCCGAGGTGAGGCAGTCAGAGATTCTGCCCTTGGGGAACACCTAGAATAGAAGATGAGTGCAAACCACTGGATTCCACAGTTGATAGGTCTCCTTAGTGAATGGTGGAGATGCTCTGACGGAGTCCAGAGCGGGGGCGAACGAGAGGACTTCCCCCTGCAGCCAGCCAAGGAGGTTGTGCGGTAGCCATGTTGCCTGGGACCTGTGACAGGGTCCCAGGACACTGGCAGGGGGCACTGAGTGGCCACATTCTGCTCAGGGAGGGGTGGGGAGCAGGTCACCTCTTAATTTCCGTGGGATTAAAAGGAAGGGACAGGTTTGTTTTGAAAACGAGAGATGGGAGTGCTTGGGTTACCTGAGATTGTTTTTTCTGTCTAGGCTGGTGTGGGAGACAGTGTAGGAGGAAAGATCAAAGCCAGCGGAAAGACAGTGCTGACTGGAGAGAAAGAAGAGAGCAGGGTAGGAGGGAGCAGGGGAGAGGTGGCAATAGGCTGAGCCATCAGACTGGTAGTGGGACGAGGAGTGGACGGGTGGTGGGTGGTGGGCAAATGAACCACTGGCTGCCACTGAGGACAATTTGAGCAAGAGCTCAACGACGGTAGGAGCCTGTGGCAGAAACAAAAGTGAAAGCAGTTGCTACGGCCATTATTAGAAACCGCGATGCCTGGGACCTCTACTCTTGGAGCCTGAGCCCTTGCCATGGCTACCAGCCCCTTCAGCCCCATTCACCTTAGGTGCCTAGTTCAGGACCAACACAGAACTGATTGCCTTGGGGACCCTAGAGCTCCCATATACGTGTGCATGTGTGCATGCTTTTGGGGCACCAATCTAGTTTACAGGGGGTGAGCAGCCCCTTTTATTGCTTTCTTTAGCAGACACAGTGGATCTGAACTGGTGTGTAATTTCCGACATGGAAGTCATTGAGCTGAACAAATGTACCTCGGGCCAGTCCTTTGAAGTCATCCTGAAGCCACCTTCCTTCGATGGGGTCCCCGAGTTCAATGCTTCCCTACCCAGGCGGCGAGACCCATCACTGGAAGAGATCCAGAAGAAACTAGAAGCAGCTGAGGAGCGAAGAAAGGTAAGTGCTGTCCTTTCTTTCCTCTATCTCAGCATGAGGGGAGGGACTTAGAGAAGACAGGTGGGGGCCCTGAGCTGAGGTCAGGTCACCACCAACGTACAAATATTTCGGCAGTGCCTCCCATGGATAGGGCAGAGAATGGAACAACCATTGAGGGAAACAAAGAAGTGAGGTACCTGGTCTCTAGGAGCTTACAGTTTGGTTAGAGGGATAAGGCACTGAATTACATATGCCCAAGAGATGGCCTTATATGCACACTGACAAGAGGAAGACATCGGCAAACACTAACAATTTAGGGAAAGGCTAAACAATTAAAGAAAAGGATCCTTAACTGGGGAAAGGGTAAGAAGGTCATGGTGTGGTATATTTCACCCCCTTGTGTGCCTTCCATGTTTCCTATTGATTCCTCTGACCCATCTTTATGGAAGCTCTTCATATTTTTTTTTGTAAATGTTTATTTATTATTTTTGAGAGAGAGAGAGTGCAAGCAGGGGAGGGGCGGAGAGCGAGGGGGACAGAGGATCTGAAGTGGGCTCTGTGCTGTCAGCACAGAACCTGACGTGAGGCTCAAACTCACGAACCGTGAAATCGTGACCTGAGCTGAAGTCAGACACTCAACCTACTGAGCCACCCAGGTGCCCCATAAGCTTTTCGTCTTTGAAGGAGAAAATAATCTTCTTCCTTGAATTCCTATAGCATTTCCTCTCTACCTCTTAGGGCATATGTCACATGCTAGTCTGGGTTAGACTTATATATATGTCTTATCTCTAGTAGACTTCTTGTTTCCCCAAGTTGTTAGGATAGTGCTTGGCACTTGGTATATCATCATTTAATATTTGTGAAGGAGGGAGGGAGGGAAGGAAGGAATGAAGGAAGGAGGGAGGGAGGGAAGGAAGGAGGGAAGGAAGGAAGGAAGGAAGGCAAGAGGGAAATGAGAAAAAGAACTGAGGGTATGGTGGGAGAATCCAGAGTGTCTCAGCTTCTTGCCAATGTGCCAGGCTCAGGGAGGCGTCTGTTCTGGGTGTGCAAATCTTAAGTGATGGTGGTGAAAATTCACCCTGGTATGCTCACTTTCAAGGGCCTCTCTCTCCCTTTTGTGCTTCCTTAGTACCAGGAAGCTGAGCTCCTGAAACACCTAGCAGAGAAACGAGAACACGAGCGGGAGGTGATCCAAAAAGCCATTGAGGAAAACAACAATTTCATCAAGATGGCTAAGGAAAAACTGGCCCAGAAGATGGAATCCAATAAGGAAAACCGGGAGGCCCATCTTGCTGCCATGTTGGAACGGCTGCAAGAGAAGGTAAGTGGTCTTGGAGAGAGAAGAGATTACTGGAAACTCTCTTCCTTCCATGGCAAGTATAAAGGGCCTACATATTATTTTAGGCATCAAACAGCCTCAGGTAGGAAAGGGGTGTTTCTGTTAGGTTGGATCCTTAGAGAGTTCCAAGGAATGTTCTGGGAAGTCGTAGGCAAGAAACATGAGCCAAACTTTGGAATTCTGTGGGGGCTATGATGCACAGCTACACAATTGAAGTTTCTCATTGTCTTAGGGAGATGAGACCTCTTATCTTCTAGAGGAACCCTGTGTGATGCAAGGGAGTAAGGACAAATAAGCAGTTGTACATTCCCGGCTTCATCCTTCAATGAACTGATTCGATTTAATGCAAGATGATGATTTGGGCTCTTGGCTCTAAGCCAAGGGCATGATAAGCTGGGTTGACCATTGAGCAGGAAACCTGATTCTCTCCAAACCTCTTGATATGGACTGAGTGAGTCACGGGTCTTTCCAATATTCTGCCTTTTGTCAATACACCAAATGGTGTCACCTACATAGGAGAAACGTGAGAGACTGGGATTGGTCCCACGTGTCAGCAGAGTAACAGCCCGTTCTGCTGAGAACATGTTGGCCTCATTTCCTGAGTCTCCAGGCTGCCCCAGTTTCTCCTGCAGCTCCTGGGAGAGCTCCAGCTCTGTGTTTTATTTCCAGGAGCCGCCTGCTGCGCGGTGACTCCCGGGACCCGATCGGTGGCCTCGTCCCATGGTGAGCAGCGTGGTCCCCACTCTTTTCCTGCCCATCCACCTAGAGTCTCAGGCCCTTGGCAACAGCTACTAGAAAGATCGGTTTCTTCACAGGGGATCTGAATGTTGCGTAGGCCCTGCCTCTGGCCAGCATGTGGCAACCCTTCCACTCTCACGCTCCACCCTCCTAGGGGAAGTAAGGCCTCCACCAAGTATCAGATGGGAGGGAAGTGATCTGGGTCTGATTTCAGGCTTCCCCAGTTACTGAGGGCTGGCTAGGAACAAACTCTTGCAGGAAAAAACAAAAACAAAACAAAAACCTGGGATTGCGATAAAATGGGGCGTGGGCTCTCAGGCCAAACCCAAAAGAAATCATTGAAGCTAGAGCCACGATATGGTATTTAAACCATGGCAAAAACATGTTTACTTTTCATACCCCTATCCCCACAGCAAATCCATGAGGTAAGCACAACAGTGTTATCCTTATTTAATTGATGGGCAAACCATGTCGGAGAAGGTCAAATAACTTGGCCAGGGTCACACAGACACTAAGCAGTGCAGCTGGGACCAGAACCCGGTTCTCTGGGTACCATAAACCTAGGGGACTCTTTCAACCCCTATTTCGGGGGGATCAGTCCACAATCATCCTGTTTTCCCTTTGGCCAGAGAGGGGACCATTGGAAGCCAAAGAAAAGGAGCCCAGAAATCTAGGGTTCTCCCCAGAGAGCTCACCTGAGTGGAGGTAGGTTCTGAGGGGAAGAGATTGAGAAGGTCCCCACTCTGGTGTAATAGCTACGGAGGTGAGGTAAGACTTCAAGAAGCAAAATGTCAGAGTAAGAATCTGAGTGGGCATCACTCTTTTGGGATCGTGACCCCATTCACTCTTGGTCACTGATGGAGGCAGGAGGTGGAATGAGAGATAGATGTATGACTTCTGCCCTGCCCCAAGCCAATGCTTTGTGTCAGTTTCTGTGTGGATCACTGACCATCTGCAACAGATTCACCTGGTGTTAAGTTTAAAGCTACAGATCCTTGGGCCCTACCTCAGACCTACGGACACTGGCTCTCTAGGAATGGTGCCCGAGGACCCGGCGGTGTCACAAATTCCTTAGGTCATGCTGATTATGGGGTGAGGTTGAGAACCACTGTCCTAGACACACCACTACCCACACTTTTCCTAGGGCCACGGAAATTTCTAGGGCCTCTTCAGGGATGGATTCATAGTTTAAGATATATCCTGAATTCCTGGACTGACTTAGTGGGCCTACTCCAGGCTGATTTTTGATATGTGGATACGATGATGTCTGGATGATTGCCAAGGTCTGGTAGAGACAATATTTACTAGCACCTGCCATGTACGAGGTGCTCTAGGAAGAATGGGGAAATACAAAGAAGAAAAAGGTGTGCTCCTTGCCTGCAAGAAAGATACCGTTCAATAGGGGACCCAGGCAGATGTACAACGAGCAGTGACAGAAGGCAGGCCATGAGGTGCCCTGGAGGTGAACACTAAAGTCACAGAATTCTAGAGGTAAAAGGAGCTTTCCGTTCATGGCCCTCTTTAAAAACCAGGTTGCTGAGGCCTGATCGGTGACGTGATTGGTCAAGGTCACATAGCTGATGGGTCTTTGAAGTCAGATCCCATCTTTTGGCTATTATGCTGTGAGGCAAAGAGGGTTCTCATACCCCACTTGTGAGAGAGTCCACTTTCTGGAGTTGGGTGACATTTCCAAAAATTCTTCCGTCAATTCATACCTTAAGAGCCCTCATCTTTCACCAAAGGGCTTAAGAAAACAACTTGCATGGAGGGAGGGGAAGGACAGAAGTGAAGGCAGTGGTCACGTTGCAAGTGTTGGG